CCATCGTGGAGCCACTGTGTGGCAAAAAATCGGCTGCACCGTCGTGGGCTTCTACATGCACTGTTGCTTGCCTGATTGCTTGCTGTAGTAAGTGCGCATTATCCCGTCGTGCTGTGCGTGCATGATGTTCGTCGAGCGCCCTTCGTTCTGTGCATGCGAACGCGTTTGTGCCATCATAGTTGCTAATGGCATGGCTCACTTTAGCTTGCCTGCATCGCCAACTCGCTGCAGATAAACTCAAAATACAACCTTCCCGTCTTCTCCCTGGAAGCCCTCCGTGTGCAAAATCGGGCGGGGTCGGCCTCCTGGATTTCTTCTGGAGCTGACCGAAAAACGACATGCCAAACGCGTCGAAACAATGAAGGCTACGCTGGCCCTGGATCCCGAGCGTGCCGTTGCCCTTGGCCTGGGAAAACGGCTGCGAGCGAATGGCACTCAGCGGGGCTGACCCTACCAGGCGGATCAATGCAAGTAAGTCGTCGTACCGCCTGCTGAAGTGCTCTGGGTTGTATTTCTGTCCGTGCTCGCCCACGTGATATCGCCGATCAATGCATATGCATGGCGCCTCCGCTAGCACTCCCCATGCAGGCCCTGCTCGTCGTTTGGGGGCCCGTCGTAGGTATCGTATCTGTCGTGGCCGATCTTGGCGGATCTGATCTCGCAGGTCATCTGCGTGCAAGGATTCATATATGTGCGGCATGAAGGCGCGGTCTGCGATCCACTCCTGCCAATCAATCTTCTCGCAGTGCATCCCTCCCGGCTGTGGCGGTCGGCTCAGTCCCTGATCCCACTGTGATACTGTCATCCCTGTGCGCGGTGCGAACAAGTTGCGCTTCTTCGGTCCACGCCCCGTGTTAGCCAGCGCAACTCTGAGGCGGTGTAGCTCAGCGTGGCGGTGATGTTTCCACGCCTCTTTGATCTGATCCACCAACTTCTCAGTTTTCTCCGTCTTCTGTCGCCGTCGAAGCACCTGCAACTTCCGTGAGAGGGCCTTGAGCTGTTCCTCTATCTGATCGAACTCCGTGTAACCATCGCCTGTGTAACTTTTGCTGCCAGTGTGGTGCGCCTCGGCTCGGAGCTGAGATCGCTTCTCTAGCAGTTGAATCCGCTGCTGTCGCATCTCGTCATATCCTATAATGTCCTGCTCCTGCTTGGGAAAAATCTCCTGCATAGCTTCACGAATGTTGTTAGAAAGCATATCCCACCACTTTTGAACGTTGCCTTGATCCCATGTTTGCCGCCACTCCGTCTCGTGAATATGCTGGGTCTTATCCTCTGTTTTTTGTAGGAACTCCGGCGTTTGTATCCTCGTGTAAGTGCGATAATCATGAGGTCGCGGTTGGCGGGTGGCGTGAGCTTGCTGATGTGGGTCTTGGCGATGTGCACGTCCATGTTCATGTAAATCGGCACGTGGTCGGTCAAATGCGTGGAGACGTGTAGCTGCAGCCTTTTTGCCAGTCCTAACAATTGGTTGATTTGGCGAACCCTGCACGGTGCTGTCGCTGGTATGGCAACGTGGTCTATCTTGCTTGTGTGGGCGCCTCTGTAGTAGGTGGGCCCCGTCCGTGTAAATGTGTCCGCGATCGCCAAGTGGTTGTCATCCAAAAATTCCCGCACTTGCGAGCTGGTGGTGTTCTCTAGGGCGGGCTCTTCGATACCAATAGACTCGGTGGCCTCTATGTATTTTCTCCCTGTCGTATCTCGTCGTATTCCAAACGCGCAGTTGTAGTCACCCAGTATGATCGGGAGGCAATTGTGCCCCAGCTTGTCCAGCTCGCCTTGAATCCACTTGAGAATATTTCTCGTGATGCCCTTGTGGGTGTTGACGGCCATGCCCCGCGGTGGTATGTATGTAGGGAACAGCGCCACGTCTATTGTGCCCACGCTTACTGTAATCATGCCAGTCCGCCCTGTGATGCCACTCTTCGTAGGGGGCGATACTACTCTCTGGATCCTGCCACTGAACCGTTGATTCGGTAGTATTGCCAGTCCACACGAGTTGT